GGTTTCATGGAAGAATTTTTCAAAACTTTTAGCGTTTATTCAGAAGAATTTATCCTTTTGTCACGTGACGAGTATTTTCCGTCTATCCATATCATGCCTCAGTTGGCGCCAGATTTCGTAGAGTTCGGTTTATTTTTTATTTGGCGTGTCTCGGTTTTTTCAAGTTCACTGCGATACATTTTTATTACGTGGAATGGATATATTTTGCATTGTGTTTAATGGATAAAAGGTGGAATGTTTACTGTGAATGTAGAACTTGTTTCAGAATATGATACTTTACAGAAAGAAAAGTTGAAAAATAATTTATTTTCGACAATTAGCGAGAACTGATCTTTGGATATAATACTTAGATATAAGTGAAAGTATGTATTATTGGACTACTAATTTATTTGTGCATATAATTATCTAGTCCTAATTTCGAAACATTTATGTTTTTTAGTGTTTATAAGCCTGTTATTTAGACATGTCTACCGATTTAGTGCTATTACGTAGAACTATATGAAAGACCGAATGGAGGATTTTATAAGAGCTTTAAGAATTTGTTTTGATTATTATAATTAGTGTTTATGTGTATCGTTGTACTGTAACTTACTTCGTATTAACTGTTAAAGTAGGTGACACATTAGATTGGTGACGTAGACTCGACTTTTCCAGAGTGCATCAGACCCTCTCAGGGAAGTGTCTTTTACAGTAGTTATTGATGCAAGCCAATGATGAATATTGTTTTAAAATTAAATACCGGTGAATTAATATAACATATGTAATAAATCTGAAGATGAATATAAAAAATATTTCAATTTTTTAATTGTTTTGTTTTTTCTTAAAATTTTATTTATATTTATTATACGTAAATTAAGTATATTTATCAAATGCTAATATTTTAAACCGCTTTAATATTTGTGTGTAAATTTGAACAAAAAATTTTAAAATAAAATAAAAGATATTCAGAAATTTTCTTTTATTTACAATGATTACGTCACGTCTACAGAAAGTAGAACACGAGACAACCTTCACCTACTTTACAGGCTGGGGGGAAGGCCGCCTGGCGCCGTAGTTGTAAACATAACAGCCGTTACGTCATCTACAAGCGTGGATGAAATCCGTTAATTGTCATTTACGTTTTCTTGAATTTGATTCGCAGGTTGGAAAAAATCGTCATGACTTAAATGCATATAACTTTAAAAAATTATATAAAATTGAAAATAAATTGAGAACTTTTGAAAAAATCGTAATGGATAGATAATCATAAGACAATTTAATATAAATTTGAAAAAAAATTTTGAACAAAAATTACCGCGAAAAAAAATTCAAATAAAATAGTATTATGTGACAATAAAATAGATTTTTTTGTCTACTAGACGTAAGTGTAAAAATTTTTTTTTCCGAAAAGGAAACGAGAAAAACGCGTGGGAAAATTCTTAAAAATTTTCCCACGCTTTTACTCCACAACTAAGTAACAGCGCCGCGATTTTTTCTCCACCGTTAAGAGGTTATTTGTTTAGCTTTAAAGTTTTAGACTTCGCGCAAGGATATTTAAACAAATTAAACGAACATGTTTTAAATAAAATAAATGTAAAAAACCAAATTGAAAAAGACAATTAAGCGATAAAGCAGAAGGATGATGGAAAAAGACATATGGTAAATCGAAATTATATGATATACAGGTATTACGTGCTAGATGATTTCTGCTTGCGTGCCACTTTGGGTACGCGAGCCATAGGTTCGCCCTCCTGCTTTAAACCATTAATATATATATATATATATGCCCCAGTCTTTCAAATGATAAAATACTGAAAGTCGTTATATAAAGATTTCCAAGAAATAACTAACAGAAAGAAATTCAACTTAAACATAAGAAAAAACCCCTCAGCCAGATCTTTAAAGTAAAAACGTTTTAACTGAATAAATCAACAATTCTGCAGATCAAAGACTTTTTTCCTGCCTACTCAAAATTTAAAAAACGAAAAAAATTTAACGATAATCGACATACACCAAAAAAGAGGAAAAACGTAGGAAGAAAGGGAAGTAAATTTTTCGAAGAGATTTTCACTACAACGAATTTTGACTACAGCATGCTTTTCTGCGTAAGTGCGGTGAAAATTTTTTCTTAGTTATTGTTGCATTTGTATTCTTATTTCATTTTTTTTTGTTTGCTGATTTTTAGATGCTTTTTATTCCTCTATTGTTTATGTTTTCGTATATTCGTGACACCCGAAAAAAGCCAAATGGCCACAGTGTCTTTTGAGATTAAAGATATATATTAATATATATATGCATTAATTAATTTCTTTATATTTTAAATGCTTCTTTAAATGACTGCGATGCACCGAGACATCCAAATCGGCTTTATATATTTAACAAAACATTTCGCGTTTTCGCAAAGATGACATTTTGTTTTATTTCTTTTCAGGTTTTTTTTAATGTTGCAGATGTCACGCTAAATCGTGAGATTTCATAATTTTTAATGAAACCTTACAATCTCCCGATTTTTTGAACAAAAAAACAAAAATTTGATATCCCATAAAATATTTCGTTTTTACTTACAATACTCGCTATCATTTATTTTTTTAACGAGCAACGAAAAGGATACAGTATATGCTTAAAAGCAGTTCTGTCTCCGGAGTACACTTCGAATAAACTGCTGACAATCAACAATGTTCATTCGAGCTCGATTCTGAATAAAATACAGTAGATCCCCGTACAAGACTGGTTCCTATAATTACGATTCCTATAAGACGGCGAAAAAATTGTGGCGGTATCCGTGAACAACGGCAAAAAACTCATAATTACGTATAACGTCATCGGGCAGCCGAACTACTTTCCGCCGTCCAGCTCCATGCTGCGAAAAATTTAGGCGCTTAAATTGAGTTTAGTATCGTCTGTACAGTATTATATATAAATTATATATAAATTAGGTACTGTACATATAATAACAGTAGAGCGTCGTTTATCCGAAAGCTGGTTATCCGAAACGTCTGTTATATGAAAGCATTCCAGTCGGCAATTTTAAATTTTCGCTAGTGCTGTGGCGCTGCAATCTTCGGCTATTTCTCGGGCTACTCAAATATTTTACGTTTTTGATACTAAATTAACATCTGAAGTATAATTTTTTATTGTTTTTATATTTTTCAATATATTCATTTTGTTTGTACATAATAAAAAATAATTTTTAACGATACAATAATCTTCGTAAGGCTTAACATCGACGAAAATTCAACACGAAGCGACACGTAACGAAAAAAAATTTCAACATGAAATAAATTAATATATTTTGTCGTACATGATTCGTTATCCGAAAAATAAGTTATCCGAACCACCCCAGTTACCATTTGATTCGGATAAACTACGCTCTACTGTATATATTAATTATATATAAATTAGGTACTGTATGTATAATTATATATTAACTTAATTTATTGTAACTTTATTATAATTATATATATATACTTTTTGCCGTCTAGCGCCACGCTACTAAGAGTTTAGGCAAACTATTGTCTGTACAGTATGTAAATTAGGTACCGTAAGTCAAATACAGTACTGTAATTTTATACATTTCTTATTCAATGGCCATATAAATTATTTATATTAATGATGTCTTTAAAGTTCATCGAAGTTTTTGCAGAAAAATAACTATCAGAAATCGCGGCCGCCTTTTGCCGCGCTGTTCTGCGACGAAAATAAGCTTAAGCAATGGAGTAGTCGAACGGTGCACACTCGGTAAGTACTCCTACAATTTTTTGTTTATACGGATTATTTCCAAAAAAATATACGTATTTTGGAAATGTTGAGACGAATTAGTCTAGAATCGATTAATTTCATGGAAGAAAACTTTTCAAACAGCCGTAGTCCGTAAACTTGACACATGTCGGGCTGTGATTGGCAATGATTTTTACAAAATTGATTCATAAAAAACGGAACGTATCTACCGTCTTATAGGAAGATCGACTGTATTTGTGCTTAATGTGTACATTTTACATCGCGTTTTCAAAAGAATTTTATTTTTCATTTTACACATTTTCTTTCAATTGAAATGTTTTTGATCAGAGAATTTCATGTAAATTTGTATTCGACAAAATGTTCATTTGTTTAGCCATCAAATTAAGGAAATTCACACGCGTATTGACGCAACCGGAAAGGGACAAAAGACGAACTCTTTCTCTACAAAAATGATAAAGAAATGGTAAAGGAATCAACGACTGCGTTCGGCAGACTCAACAGTTGCGGAGCTGTTGAGTATTTTTATGCCGAATGCCCTGTCTTCTACAGTAGCGTTCTCTTCATGTTTTGACGTCTTACATTTACGCTATCTATCGCAATCTTAAACTGACTAATGAGGCTGTTTGTTCCAACGAATACATCAGTCATCGTTCTGCAGATCCAGATTTTTACGTAATAGCTACCGGTTTGCTCAGTTACAACTGTTGAGTCCTCCGAAGCAGCCAATATAATTGCCAAAAATAAAAAATTGAAAATAGTTTTATAAAAATACTCAACAACGAGTTAGATAACTTTCCCGGCAAACAAATTTAAAATTGAATATAGTACCATATCTTACGATATTTTATTTAGAAATTTTTTTAAAAAAACTACTAGCATCGATGCCCCTTATACGCGAGCTCTAGTGTTAAATTTCGTTTTTTAATTTTTACCTCAGGCCGAAATATTAAACGAAATAGATTTCAACAAAAACACACCTAAACACACATCTACTGAATTATTTACGTTTTTTTTAAATTTTTTTTTTGTGATCAGAATTTCTCAAAACGTGGAGAGATTTACAGAAAAAACCCGAAAGTTTAAATTTGACACGATTTCAATACTTTTTCGTGTTACGTACATAATAAGCCAAGAAAATAAAAAATAAACGATTTTATTATAAATTTTATAGTAATAAATCGGCAAAAATTTTTATCATTCGTCTGTAGTTTACGGTTACGCCACCGGGGGGCAGCTCGTTGTTTTTAGGATATTTTCGGTTTCTCGTCCAGTAACACTGCTGCTCGTTTAAACGACGTTCTCGTAATCGCTACTATTGTTTATTTCTAAGCATTTCAAAGTGTTCGAAAGGAAAGAAAAGGTTAGTATATTCGTGAGTTGTTTTATGTACATAATAAATAATAAGCACAGTTTCACAAAGGAGTAACGTCCAAGTATTAATTCAGTGTTTCTCAACGGGGGCGATATCGGTGCCATATGGGCGTTTTTTCATGTTGAGGGGGCTATTAGAAACAATTTATATTTTGGGGGGCGAAAAACAATTTTCTAAGCGATATAGTAAAACATTATATTAAGAATAATTAGATATTTTATTCGTTATATCCTACAATAATTAAACAAATAACATTATACTAGTCACTATTCTATTTAATGCAGTACGAATTTGACGTTAGTCTTGGTTCTCGGCATCGGAATTTTGTAGTGAAGGGGGCGATACTACGTTGGAGGAAGCGACGATTCGTTAGAGGTTGAAAAACACTGTATTAATTTGCATTTTATCAACTTTAGGTGAGGTCGTCCTTATAAACTAAGAGATATTATCACTTCTATTTTTCCAATCTGTGTTTTACAAATATCCTATGGTTTATTTATGTGCACTTATTATATAATATTTGACAAATTGTTATATGTATATTGATGTGTGACCGGAAGTGTATAAAAACATAAATGTATAAGGATTTAATAATAGGTATAAGCTTATATACAGTAGACTTCACTTACGAAAAATGAGCGGTAGAAGTGCATCTAGGTAGTCCCGGTACTTCCGATACTATGGCATTCGATTATTTAGCCCGCGTAACTGCGCAGGCTTCGAGTGGTCCTCTTGGCTGTTCGTGGCATACTCGATGTTATGTAGTTTTGTGGAGTCGCCCTCGCTTGGGCACACGTCTGTGCTTCGCGTGTAGACTAGGTGGTAGACTGATACGTGTAAAAAATGACTTTCGCTCTTTAGGGGGCTACCGAAGTGCAATTTTACCGAATGGGCTAAACCGGTCCAGTTTCGAACTGACACGGTGTCTACTTTCAAGAGGGATATTGGAGGGAGACAGTCTTGTCGTTGGTCGCCCATATAGATATTTGTTAAAAAGTCGTATCGTTTAACTTCTTTCTCTTTCTCGATTGCTTTTTTTTGTTTCCTTTTAAGTATGTTTTCGACTTATTTTGATCTGTCGATTTTTTTGGAAACGGTGCAAATTGAATTTCCTGCTCCGTAAAGTTTTCGAATGTTCAGAAATTTATCGGGTTCGGTTTTATTTAGCGCCTGCCACCGTGAGGTGTCGGTGATCTGCCGAGGGGGAATGCATTCGTCCACGCATCACGGCACATTCCGGGAGGTCTTTTATGGGGAAAATGGCCCCTATTTAGGCGTTACCGACGTGAAGAAAAGCCAAAAATCTTTGCTCGGCCTGCCCGTTCGCGGGTTACGAACTTGTCGTCGGCTGCCAGCATTTAGTGGTTTTATTTGCTTGGATGCCGGTGGGTCCAAACTTTAATTTCTGAAAACCGTTTATTGTGGGATATTTTGCTTGCAGTAAACTGTATGACTGTATCTTTAGTTAGTCATGTGACTGTATCTCCAATGTATAAGGATGGCAAGCGATGGTATGATTTTTCTTGGCTGGACATATTTTCTGGATGCAAATATTGTATGTAACTGAGAAAAATCATGTTTTGTGCTGTCCTTATACTTTTAGACATGTCTTAGAAATTGACTTTTGTCATTTTTTATGATCTCTTGCAAACTGTAAATATTGTGAGATTAAAGTGAAATGTCACTTCTTCAGAACTCTCGCATTCCATTTGTTTAAGTGCATTTTAGCTATAATTAGAGCTAACACAAAATTGGTGGGGTCTTTATAGTCGACTGTAGTGTACGAACACTTTGTCTTATCCACTTTGAATTACTTTGTTTTAATGCTTTACACATGATGCTCACCTTATTTGATAACTTGAATCAATTCCATTTTTTGTTTCGGGGGAGAGAGAGAGAAAGAACAAGCTTGAATCTTTATTTTTGTCTTTCTGGATATGTATTGTCTGTATAAAATGTAAAAAAAAGGAATGTTTGCAAGTCAGTAAAAATAGTTACTAGTTTTTTTTTCACCAAAACATTGTAAAATTAAAATTTATTAACAATAGCAATTCTATGCTGCTAAGATATTGCATTTATACTCTTGTTTTTGTCTTTCATTTTCTTTTGTTTAATTTTTGACTTTTTGCTATTTATTTTGAAATGTTTGTTAATGTGAATCTTTCTAAAAAAAAAACTTAAAACACAACCTTACTGTATTTTCATCATAAAACATATAAATTACCATAACATCACTAATGGATATAAAAGCAGATCGTAAAGCTAATAAAATGTACTTTTTATTATTATAATTATAATTCATCAGGCAAACACAATTCAAAGAACTATTTAACTCAATTCTAATACTGATTTTGAATTTTAACAGCAAAATGAATCCAAATAATAGACTAGTTTCGGAGATAATTAGAAACAGAGATACGGAAAAACCAAAAAAGAGAAGTAGAGAGGATTTGAGAAAAGCTAAAGAATTAGAAGAAGCTATGAAAGCTGGTACTGCACCAGCTGCTGTTAAAGAAAAAAAGTATGTTTGGAAAAATTTATATTTTTTTCTAAGAGTTATAAAAGGATTGATTGATTTAATCGGTAAGTTATTTAATGATCAAAGGTTAAAAAAGGTAGTTATATCATTTACAATAAATTATCATTAAATCACTTAAAGAAATAATTTCATTTTTACAATTACAGTAATGCCATTTCTTGATTCAATGAGCTTTGTCTTAAATTTTAATTTATTAATATGTAAATTACCATGTTGTGATTATTATTACTATTACAGTAGATCCCCCTATAAGACGGTAGATACGTTCTGTTCTTTATGAATCAATTTTGTAGGAATCACAGTTTACGGACTACGGCTGTTTGAAAGGTTTTCTTCCATAAAATTAATCGATTCTAAAGTAATTCGACTCAACATTTCCAAAATACGTATATGTTTTTGAAAATAATCCGTATAAACTACGTTATAAACAAAAAATTGTAAGATTACTTACCGAGTGTGTACCGTTCGACTACGCCCGTTGCTAAAGCTTGGTTTCGTCGCGGAACAGCGCATCAAACCGCGGCCGCGATTTCTGATATTATTTTTCTGCGAAAACTTCGTTGACCTTTGGAGACATCATTAATATAAATAATTTTTATGGCCGTTAAATAAGAAATGTTTCTTTCACAAGAAATGTATAAAATTACAGTACTGGACAGACGATAGGTCGCCTAACTCGCCGTAGCGTGGCGCTAGACGGCGGAAAATATATATTTAATTATAATAAAGTTACAATAAATTAAGTTAATATATAATTATATATACAGTACCTAATTTATATATAATTATATGTACAGACGATACTAAACTCAATTTATCCGCCTAAACGTCCATAGCGTAGTGCTACAGACAGCGGGAAAGAAGTTTGGTCGCCTGATGACGTTTTACGTAATTATGAAAGTTATTTCTACCGTTGTTTACGCATACTGCCACAATTTTTATAGAAAACAGTTTTATAGGGGGATCTACTGTGTTTTCATAAATCAGTACTTTGATTACATGATTTAAAATTACAATATCCAATAAAAATTAAATATTGTGTAGTAACATCTGAATAGCATTAGCTGTGTCAATGAAAGTATCATAGGAAATAATAAACAATCAAAAAAAAGAAAAGGTAACTGGCTTTTATAAATGAAATTCCAACTAAGAAAAAATGAATTTTACAGATATTTACATTCTGAATTATGGAATATTTTTAATATATATTACCACTAATTCCATAAGAGTATTGCTTTTGATAAATATCTTCTTGAATATCCATTTGTTTATATAATTCATATATTATTTTTCTTTCTGATATTGTAGTTATGAAAGATAATACAGTCACACTCAATAACTTGATCTTCCCTAACTCAAATTTTAGTTTTCTCCCAACTTAACTTTCATAGACTTGATGCATTCTGCATTCTACTCATACAAGTCAAAGTAGTTTTGAGATCATGCGTTGCTAGCTTAAAATTTAAATCCAGCAACTTTATTTAATGTCTAATTTTGTGTGCTTTCTTTTGCATTTTCAAGGGATAGATTATATCATGAAATTGATTGATATTCTATAGAATTATGCCTCTAATTAAATAGCATAAAAGTAAAATTTTAACGGCATTTTGTACTTAAAGTAATTTTTTTTATTTTTAAATGCAAATTGACCAATCAAATCTTTGAATTTTAAAATAATTACTTTTTAAATTTTGAAAATTTGACAATGTAACAAATACACCTATGATTTGATGACTGAATTGTTGACCAATCAGATTTGAATTTGTCCATGTATATCTTCTTATTTGGAACTAAACATTTCTGTTGTATAAATTTTGCTGTAATATTTAAATTGCACGTTGACATTTTCATTGCTGATTGTGAGCAGTTATAATCAATATGTTGACTGTTTTCATTTCGAAGTAGGTAGAAATGGCACACGAGAAAACTAAAGTTTGGCAATAGCAGAAAATGTATCCATCAAAAAGAAAGATTGCAGAGAAAGCAAAAAAAAAAAAAAAACTAAAATTATTAAAGACTGGCATTCTATTAAGTACTTGCTGTACCTAGCTGAAAAACATGGAGAGCATCGAATAGAAAAGAATGCATAAATGTGAGCAGCTAGATATCAAAATGTGCAAATGTGCATGCCGAACTGATTTGTATAGTGTAGAGACAAGAATGTTCTCGTTGATGGAAATCTACTTAGAGAAAAAGCCAAACAGTTTGCACTACAGTTGGGTCGTACAAGATTCAACACACACATGAGAAGATGTACAGAATAGTTTTCGGTAAAATCTTTGATGAAAATGCTAAAGTGTGAGAGGTGGACTATGCAACATGGTTTTGCCACAGACTGTACAGAACAATAGGCTGTTTTCAACACAGATGAATGGGCTTATTGTTTTAAGTGTCTCTCAGACAAAACTGATGTCCAAAGATGATTGATTCATTTCATTGGTGTAGAAAACAGAGCAAAGGATATGTAGCTCTTGTTAAAATAATTTGTTTTCAAAAATTTCTTGTGAATAAATTTTAAACAGTGTAAAACTATTCAAAGAAGACATATTTCTTGTTAAATATACCTTTTGAATGATCCATTACATTGTGATAAAAATTAAGCATTTTTTAATGAGGTGCAAATGCACAGTCTTGTGGTCTAGATTTAGAAAATCAGACGAGAAAGGGCTAATATATGTCAATTATATTTTTTACAGTTCAAATTGATCGAGGTTTGTTTAATTCAAGTGAATTCTGAAAGAGTCTCTGAAAATAGAGAAAGGAATGCAATACAATACAGTTTGCTTTACAAATCTTGGCTGGACAATGCATAGTATTTGAAAAGCACTCTAAATGTTTTAAAAAGATTTTACTCAAGTGATTTTTTGTATTAAAAAAAATTGATTTTACTTTTTAAATTCATATTAATTATGATATTAAAAGAAACAAAAATATTGTTATTAAATCAATCACTTAAAACCAAACATTCTGTATTATCAGAATGTTTGATAATTCAAGCTGACTTTGATCTACATTAACTTTGATAATCAGGATTCTACTGTAGTATTAATTTTTAATAATTACAAAAGTTGTTAAATTTTTTTTTTCTAAACTTTAAAATTTTAAAACAAAGTTTCATAATGGGAATTTTATTATTTCAGAGACATCAATCCTCATATTCCACAATATATAGCAACTGCTACTCCGTACTTTGGTTCTTCCTGTCCCACTCTGAAACATCAGCGACTTCAGCCAGAAAGACAACAAAGTTATACCAAGATCAAAGAACATTTTGTTAGAGGACTAAAGGTTTGTCTAATATAGATATAGAAACCATTTGTATTTATTTACGATTTATCCTTTGCTTTTATTTGGTTTCTTTAACCTCAATATGTAACTGGTTCAAACACTGTAATTTTCTAGGAATTACCATGTTTAAGGACTTCATAATTACTACCCAATCAACAGCTTTACCTAATCTAACAACTAACTTCAATATTATTTTCTTAATTGTTTTCACATCGTGTTTTTGCATGATGTTCCTGATATTTTCTGGTAATGTTAACATGGATAACGTAATTTCGTCTCTCATACATACTCTGAAGTACCATATGTCTGTCGTTAATTAATTTAGCTGCAGTTGTTTTATATGGACTCTGTGGCGAAATAGGCATAGTTATATTTACAAATTAGCTATGATTTATCCTTTGCTTCTGTTCTGTTTCTTGGGTAAAATAAAGTTGTTCATTGGCTAATAATTACGGAGTCTGTAGATATGATAATTCCTAGAAAATAAGTGCTTGAAATGTTACATATTGACATATTTGTATTTGTTTTTGTAAAATTTAGTTTTTATTTCGGATATTATGATTCTTTTAATTAAAAAGAATTTAATTATTATAAATGTTTAAAGTGAGCTATGTTAAATAACATTAAGAGAAAGAATCAGAAACACACTTAATAATATGGTCAGACTTCCACATAATGTATTGGGTTGTTCGGAAAGTAATTTCGTTTTTTTTCCGTGGTAAAAAACACAATATTTTTATAATAAATTACTATTTTGTTGAATTATTTATTGATTATTTTGGTGAAATATTTGTTTTCATTGTTTCTGGTAGTAGCACGATTTCACATTAATAAAAGTTTTGATCGTTGCTTACAAAAAACTGATCCAAGTGATTTTTGACATTGTGATTTCAAGTAAATGTCTTACAATTAAAAAAAATTTGTACAGACCGAAACAAGTAATAATTTGAGTGTGCTCAGTCTGGCGAATATGGTCGGTGTGATAGCAGGTTTGAACTAAGTTATAACAGTTTCTAACGAGTTACCAAACTTGTGTGAAATTTGACATTATTGTGGTAAAACACTACGGCTGTTTATTAATCAATTCTGGCTGGCTTTTTCTGTTTGATGATATTACGCAATTTGTTTACTCGAATGCAGTACACTTTCGAATCAATTGTTAAATTGTGTGGTAAAAGCTCCAAAAAAAATTTCCTTAATATCCTACCAAATAGAGCATTTCTCTTTAAGAACTCGTGGAATTCATATATCGAGATTTGATACGAAACCAATTTGTTTCAAGTAATCATTAACAGTTCAATTTTACAAATTTAATTTCTTAGTAATTTCACGTGTTGTTATTCGGCAGTTTGCTTCAATCGGTACCTTTTATTTTGTTTTCATTGGCTTCAATTGGCCATCCATAACTTGGTGCATCTTCAATACTGAAATTGCAAGAACGAAATTTTGTAAACCAGTTTTGGCACTGTCGTTCTGTCAACAGATCTCTACCATACATGTCACATGATTTTTTTCTGGCTTAAACCGCATTTTTAATTTTTTGGTAATAAAAAAGCAAAATATGTCGAAAATCTGCTTTCGATCTTCCATATTTAATGAGACCCAAAAAATGAACAATTGCACAAAACCAAAATTTTTTATAAATAAGCCTTAAAATGCTAGCTGTTAAAATATATAATGATAATACGGTTTAAAATAAAAATGGCGGAAAAAATACGACTAATTCGTCTAGTGGTAAGAAAAACGAAATTACTTTCTAAACAACTCAATAGTTTGATATTACAAATTTTTCCTTACATTTGTCAAATGTTAAATTTAAAATTTTTTTTCTTTAGCACTGAAAATGCCACTATTCAATGAAGTTTCATTTCTGGTGAGTAACTGAAAATACAAGTAGAGCAAATTCAAATTTTGGCATTGAGAAAACTGCGTACTTTTGTACAAAGTAGATTATAAGATTCTGCAACACACATCTGCCATGATACAAATGGATGATAGAGTTTTTTAGGCTTTTACCTTAGGCTGAAGAACTTGGTCCTTTCGCATAATAACAGGTGTTTGTTCACAGAATCTTATAATCTGTCTTGTAGCACAATGTGAAAATTTAATCTTGGTCTACTTGTATTTCAGCCACTCATATAATAAATTTTGTAACCGGATAAATGAAAAAAAATCTTATTTTTTACATCGCTAAACATTGAAACTGCTTAAGATTTTGATTCATTTCTGCAATTGACACCTTTAGGGTTTTTCTTATAGTATAGAGCAATAACTTTACTATGCTGTATTAAAACTTGATGAATGATTGAGATATTCTACTTGAAGATAGTTTCAAATAATAATCTTTTTAATATATTCACAATTGTAAGAAATGACTTGTGTCAACAAGAAAACATTATTGACAATAATAAAGTTAGAATTAGTCATTTAAAGTATAAAACAGTTTAAGTAATACGAAAAATGAGTGTGTTTTAGCATTAAAACTTTTTAATAGAGATAAAAGTTTATTATGCATTGTTCATATTTTCAGAAAATATTGTATTACTCTGTCCGTTAAACAATTATCTTTTAAAATAATAATTCAGGACATTAAAGTTCATTAAAATCACTAACATAGATTATTCAAAATGATATCTTCTCTTGTATTTTTAGAAATTCCAAGCATGGTTTTCAATAAAATACAGTGGTGCCTCGTATAACGTATGCCTTGAATAACGGACGCTGCGAACGAGGGACTTTGTTTTGATGTTACATGACTGGAACAACAAACTTTCTGCAAACAAGTGCGAATGATGTTTTCACTCTTTTTCCGTTGCCAATGACAATCTGCTATTTTTAGAATATATTATTAGTATATCTGAAGAACAGAGCTCCAGTTGGGATTTGGCTTGCTCGCTCGTTTATTACGTACATCACCTCAGTGCAGGGTATTTACATTTATTCAAGTGTTGTGCAAATCATGGCTTCTAAAAGAACAGAAATGTGATTTCAATTGAAACAAAGCAAGAAATCATCAGAAAGAGTAAAAGACAAAAACTTTTTTGTCAAATGGGGAGAGGTTGAGGAGTTTACCAACACTTACTATCCAAACAGAACCGAGACCAACAGGATCAACGATCTGTACAATGACACCCTTGCCTGTCATTTCTGACAGGTGTTGAAGAAAAGAAAGAAACAGATCACTTTGGACATGTTTTTCAAGAAGTCAGCTGCCAAAAAAACAAAGGATAAAACAAGTGGAGTTTATTCTGCGAGCCCCAGTAGCCTCTCCTGAATCTGACTCCTATTAAAAAACAATAAAAAAAGATTTGCTGCATGTGTAAAAAGTCTCTATCGTGTTCTTCCACCTCTTCCTCACAACATCTGACTACCCGGCATAATTGGTGACTGCTGCATTTTCATTTTTTTTATGGTACAGTGTGTTTATTTTATGCTGCGTAACGAATTATATGTTTTAATATGTACTGCATTTCTGTGGGAAAATGCGTTTCGTATAATGGACTTTTCACTTAACGGACATGAACCTGGAACGGATTACGTACCTTATATGAGGCACCACTGTATTTTAATGTTATATTAGAGGAAATGAAAGACACAAATAATATCTATATTGCTCAGCAACTAAATCAAGAGAAACAAAACACCTTTTTTGCCGAGAAATAAATATAATTTAAAAAAAACAAACGTTTTTTTTAAATTATATTTACTTGTTTTTTTTAAATTTGTGTTATTTAAGGCAATGCGTTTATATTTCACTTACTTGTTTTTATAATATATTTTTTAGGAATTTATTATTAATGAACATCAAAAGGAGAGAAATGATACTACATTCAAGCACTCATGTTTATTTTGTAAAAAAGTGTTTAAAGGAAACAGGTATTTATTATTATTATTATATATGTAATGCTTATTTGTTATTATACACAAATATTGATTAATACTTAAATTAGAATACTGTGAATTTGAGGAATGAATTGGAAAATTATAATTAATATATACAGTATCTGATTGCAAAAGAGTAAATGGAATTAGATTCTTAAAATTGAGTTTTTAATTTAAATCAATTTTGTTTATTGCTCAGAATTTTTGTTAGCAATAAATATTTATATTCAGAAGAAGCATATTATCAGTCTTCAGTATTGTGTGGTCATATAAATATACTCCTGTACTCAAAAAATAAGGATAATCATTAATTTAGCCTGTATATCAAAACCTANTCACTAGTCATCACCTTGTCAAGATGAGTGTACGCGATAGTTTCAATAACCCATAATGATACCAGCAAGAGTGCATCACAGACAAAATAATCTATCGCATTTAATGATGATTAGTTGTTATGGATTATTCATTGTCACATTCATTGATGACACTTGGCAATTGCCAGAGTTATATGCCATTGGCACCGTGTTGTCCCCAGTCAGCACTGAGTAACTGGTATGATTATATCTAAATAAATAATTCTGGAAATGAAAGGTTGGGTGGAAGTCCAAATAGCGTAACTGCATTGTAATAACACGGTATGTGGGAGTTGCAGGTTTGAATCCCACTTTGGATTAATTGGTTTCTTCCAGAACCCTTTAAATTAATTATAAAATTTATCAAGATACAGTGTCTAATGCATGCCTCTATGCTAAATTTAATTATTAATAATAGCATTAATATAGTCTGATAAAATCCGACAATCATTTGTATTTATTCTGTATGATATACTGTTGTTTGTTCCTATCAACTACGATATGAGCATTGTAATCAGACTCAGAAATTAAGATTTTATTTTAAAAAAATTGTTGTACGTTTTAGTGATTTTCTTTTCATGTTTTATTGTATTTTTGGCATGTTTATTTTTTAAGATGCATCTTGATTTTTTTTGGAAGCTTACTAATAACAGAATTGAGATGTATTCTCTTCTACATCATGATAAGTTATGTACTCATACATTTAATGCAGATAATTGCCTAAGTGATTTTTCTATTAAAAGAGCATTTCGTTGTTGTTTTTTGTGGATGATTTTTTTTAACTCGAACATGCCTGTTTCTTACAATTGTAACTTTTATTAAATTTGTTGTTAATAAAAATTTAATAATGATAGTCATTACACTATGTTTTATAGTAATTAATAATATAATTTAATAGCATGATATATTTTTTTGATAGAAACTACTACTAAGTTGTAAATTTTAGTATGTAATTACTCAATACTCAGAAAAATAAATTTATACTTGCTTTGTTAACATCAATAGAAATTGAATGATTCCTTTGTTATAAATATAAATAAAGTAATGAAAATTTTAATTATAATTCAATAAATTATAAGTTACTTATAATTTCTTATTGATCAGCTTTAAATATAAATTTTTGACTTTTTAATAATGTGGGTGTGTATATAAGTGTGTGTGTCTAATTTTTTATTTTCTATTTTAGCGGCCAAGAAAAAGAGGTGCCAAATTCACAAATGAAAATATTGCCGAAGACAAAGTTATTTCGCCAGATTTAAATTTGGACTACGATGGAAAAAGAGATCGATGGAACAGATATGACCCTGCAAATTATCAAGCCGTTGTGGAAGAATTTGCAAAAGTCGAAGAGGTAAATTTGTAGAAATATATCATTACAAGCTTAAAAAGCAGGTTTGTGGAGTCGTGTAAAAATCTTCTGACTCCAACTCTGACTGCTTTATCATTTGACTCCAACAGGGGCGGACTGGCCCTGAAATTTTTGTGTGGCAAATTTATTATCAACCCAGCCCATAAACAAAAATATGTATTTTTTTCTATTTATATTTAAATACAGTAGAGCGTCGATTTTCCGAATCAATTGGGGACTGGGGTTGTCCAAATAACTGATATTTCGGATAACTGATTTACGTACGAAAAAATAGTTTAACGTATCCGATGTCGAAATTTTTCTCCTTTGCGTGTCGCTTCGCATTGAATTTTCGTCGATGTTAAGCCTAACAAAGACTATTGTATCATTAAAAATTATTTTTTTATTTTGTACAAACAAAATAAATATATTGAAAAAAAAATAATTAAAAATTATACTTCAGATGTTAATTTAGTATCAAAAACGTAAAATATTTGAGTAGCCCAAGACATAGCCAAAGATTGAAGCGCCACAGCACTGGCGAAAATTTAAATTTGCCAACTGGAATTTTTTCGGATGATTGACTTTCGGAAAATCGACGCTCTACTGTATATTCAAAATACAACATTGACGATAATTACAATAAGCACAAGTCTACATTCTACAACATTGATTTTTATTAAGAAGTTTGCTTTGTTGAGCATTAATATTAATGACATCATCAGAATGTAATTCGTTTAAAAAATCTTTTTCCACTGACATTAACATGAAGGTTTCTAGATTTTCTCGCGATATACTTATAAGTATCTTAGCCTGCTTTTAATTAATTTTAACATTGAAAAGTTTTGTTTACGAGACACTTATGTTACAGACAGATAGTAGATATTTGTATGCTTGACCAAGTATAAAAAAAACACCACTTAACATGTCATATCTGAATAATATATTATAGCAACAAATAGGGCAATTTTTGCAAGCAATGCAGTAAGATAATAAAATTGCATCTTTATTACTTTCTACTTGATCATCAGTAGTACGTTCATTTTTGTTTAATTTTATATAAGTTTCACTGACATTTTTCTTTAAAATATTTCACGACGATTTAAAATGTTGCAATTCTGAAATAATAATGTGTTGAGTTGCTATAGGATTGATTAAACTGTATTAAATGACTGCTTAATTTTTTAAATGCATTTTCAAAAATATTTGGTGACGGTCTCTTAAATTTTGGGCTAATGTTCTTTGAACTCGCTGTAAGATGACCGTTAAACTCTCCCCGGTTGCTTTCTCTTTCACCTTCTACGATCGAGCACGTGTGGATTTGGTCCGGGAATGCGACAATTAAATCATTTTACACTCGTTCCTATTTACGAAATAAATCACCGATTTATTAGAGAGGTTGCGGCCGAAGTTTTCAACGCGAAAACGTGTACGTTGGTCGTTCAGTGCCGCCTTCCTGTGAGTCTAGAAGTTCGACAATGGCATTTGGAACGTCGAGCATGATTCCACTGACGTTCCGGAACAAACGCCACCCTCAAACTTTTACACTCACAGGAAGGCGGCACTGAACGACCAACGTACACGTTTTCGCGTTGAAAACGTCGGCCGCAACCTCTATTAGCTTTAGCTCGACAACCAGTTTCCCATTGGAGAGGGGTGATGTCCCGGTCTCACACTACAAAATAGATTATTTTTAATTAAATCGTTTAGAATATAGAGAAATTATTATTGAATAACATTTTTTACTTACCTAAAATAAAGGAAATAATATAAGTGGCCATTAAATTTGTTATGACTACAATCATCGCTTTGGTGGCTAGCTACAAAACTAATAACTCGCATTTCTATAGTTTAGCATTAAGACTCATAGAAGTTATGAATAGTTTCTAACAATGTAAAGAAATGACCGATTTTCTCTGTTTAGAAGGTGGTTTTGATTATTTTTCTTCCAGGATGCTTTCTGTTTGGGCTGAATTGGGCTAATGTAGTGTTTGACTCAGGTCAGCCGAACTAATTTAACTTCCGATACGGGTAGGGCCAGGTAAAATGATGCAGGCCTACACATATTACACCTAAAAATTAAAATTTACCTTACTTAACGAAAAAAATTAACGAATTTTTTAAAATTATACTTAACCAAAAGGTACATTATGTACAGTATATATTCAGAAAAAACAACCCAAATTGTATACGGCCCATGTGGAATTTTCCACATTTTCAACATGGGCAGTCCGCCTTTGGACTGTAACCAGGAGCAGAATTTTACCAAATTAGACCCGAAATTCCGATGTCATCACATAACCTCAGAATAAAATATTCAATAAATGAGTTGGTAAAGATAGAACGTAAAAACTTTTTTATTCCATAGCTAAAAGACTCTAAGTAATGAAACAGTCAATATATAAATATGTATTTGATAATACTTACTTTCCCAGCTGTTATATATAACAGAGGGAAAGAGAAAATGTCGGTAAATGACCCCGTCCAAATTTTTACATTTTTGGACTCAGGACATCTTGACATGTCGAAATATGCAAAAGCTTCAGTTTTTTTTTTTCTGTATGTATGGACTCTGTGTGTGAGGCACGATTTTGTTCACCCTGTTTGTAGCCTAATAACTTCTGTGGTTATTAAATTGGAGTTGGATAATTTAACACGAGTTATTAAGCTTCAAAGTGGTTGAACTAAATCGTGCTCTCATACACATTCTAACATCTGAAGTGAGAACATTTTAATAGGTTTTACTGTCTATTATAAAATGACAAAAAGCTTAATTTTGAGGGTAGAGACGAGTTTTATTTAAAAAAAATTTTGAACACTAATAACAAGTAAAATATTCATTAAGTTTGACCTTACTAGAGATATGACACATGACCCCTTCTAGGTCTTTACCCTGTCGACCTTTAATTAAAAACAAAAATTTAATAGCATTAATGTCCCTTTATATACAGGCTACAGTGCCAAATTTTGTTTCTTAAACTTTAGCCATTCTGAAATATTGTTTAATATCTCAAAACAGAGAATAAAGAAATTAAACAAATTAGATGCCAACACGTGTGCACATTTTTTTCCTTTGACTGTCTTCGGGTTCAGGAAGTCTCTGAATATGTAGATTTGCATAATTATTAAAGAGTAAATTTGACATGCTTCCAATACTTTTCCGTTTTATTTACATAACAAGTTGGAAAGTAAAAAGGAGTCGAAGTTTGCTAAATTTTTTGACGACTCCGACTAAAACACCAAAACTCGACGACTCCAGCTTTGACTCTGACTCCACAGCCCTGTTAAAAAGTTAAAAAAGAAATCCAACATTAACTAAAAATGTGTAGTTTTATTACTTTTAATTTTTTGAAATTATTATATATTAAATATGGAAATCAATAATTGTTGCAAGAAATGATTGATGCATAAACTTTCTTAAAATTTAATTTATATGTTTATTGATATAGAAGTGCATTTAAACAAAAAATATATGTTAAATAGTAAGCAAAGATGATACAGTAAACTACATAAATTTGAAAATTTATAATTAATGTTTCTTAATTTTTCTGAGAAAGACATACTGTATGTGTAGTAAAATCAATGAACTATAATGTTTCAAAAATAAAAATAATAAAAAAAGCATCTATCATTGTAAAATTGCTGTATCACATGTAAAAATTTCTCAATTTTTAATGTTGATAATTTGACAAATGTGAAGATTACAAAAAAAATGGTTAGATGGTATGAGACAAATTTTTCTATGGTACACCTAGTAGTCTAATTTCTCTTTAAAATAATTTTAAAAATAATAAAAATTATAAATGTTTAAGTAATTGATTCTTGACAATTGTTTGGTCAAGATTCTAACACAGTTTGATGAACTGAACAGCAATACATAATAAAAAAATTGCAATTAAATCATATTTTGTAGAAAAATTTGTCCTTTGTACAAAATGCTTGCTTTAAATTTATGTAATTAAATTGTCTAAAAAGCAAGAATAAAAGTGTTTAAATAAATATTTCTAAAGTGATTAAAAATTACCATGTTTAAATTTGTGCAGTTATGAATTAAAACAGATTCAAAACAGATCCAACAGATGTAAATTAGAATAATTTAATCTAATTATGCTAAAATTAGTCTGCCTGTAAGTATATCAGTCTGACAAGTAAAATTATAAGCTAAAACAGATTCAAAACAGATCCAACAGATATAAATTAGAATAATTTAATCTGATTATGCTAAAATTAGTCTGCCTGAAAGTATATCAGTCTGACTAGTAGAATTATAAGCTATGATTTATAATATTTATATAATATACAAAACTACCTATCATCCAATTAGTATAAATCATCTTTTTCTATTAGAAATCAGAAATTTTTACATTTGTTTGATTATAATTTTAAAATGTAAGTGTAAAGAAAAAAGTTTAATTTCTAAAGTCAAAATACTGTAGTTTCAACTATAATTGATTTGAATTAAATTATTATATAATTTTCAATAAATTAAATATTTTTGAAAAAATTCTATATTGTCATTTATTGATTATTCATTTTAAAACAGGCTAAAAGGCAATTAAAAAAGGAAAAATTAAAGCAAGATCTTTTATCTAGTGAAGTTAGCACTATAAAAGAAACAGTAAGTAATATCAAGCAATTTTACTGTAGTTAATAATTTTTACAGAATGTACATTTTTTATTAAACAGAATATAAAGTGCTTTTGGTATATTAAAAATTTTTAATATCAAAATCAAATTTTATTAGAACTTTCTAAAAACTCATACATAAAATAATATTTTTATACTTTAAAATGTATAATAATAGGCAGTTAGGTTACCATCTTGTATTAAATTTCTTAATAACTGCATTAATTTTAAATTAAATAATTTATATACTATTTAGCACAATTGCCAAATTGTCTATCTTTAGTGTAAATTATATATATTATAGTGTTTAGCTGGTTATAGTTTAAAAGTTAATCCAGCCGTATCTTTTTCTTTGATAATAATAACGAATTAATAATTAACCGGCCATAATTTAATTTGACATAGAATAATGATGATGAAGACGAAGAAAAATACGCCGAGAATGCGAACATGCCGGGTACAAAATTTGACAGTGAACAACAAATTACTGTTCGTAATTTACGTATAAGAGAAGATACTGCAAAAGTAAGGTTAATTTAAATATAGAATACTGTATAGTTAACTGATACACAAAGAAAGATAAATTTGAAAAATTATTTTCAATTTTTAGTATTTGAGAAACTTAGATCCAAATTCTGCATACTATGATTCAAAAACAAAAGCCATGAGAGATAATCCATATCAAGAAAGTAAAAATTCAGAAGAGTAAGTATACTCAAATTATTTATATTTGATACTGTTCAAAATTCTGAAATACAAAGTCTTGGAGGTGCAAAAATCCTATATTTGACTTGATATTCAGAAATGTTGAAATTTTGATATGAAAATAAGTCATAAAGCAATTTCTTGACATGAAAAAATCTTAGAACAATTGTGAATAATGAGTGGCAGATTTAACTAACCATAACCCAACATCTCAAAAAATGTTTAATTTGTTAATAAAAATTATTTCTGGGCCTCTTGAAAATTTATTTTTAACAACAGTGTTGTTCATTTTATATTATGGAGTCAAATATCATAAAAGTCACTGTCAATAATGGTGTTAATAGAATGTCTATGTAGTCATTTTAACAAGTGAAGATTTGAAATTTAAGGATTTCAAAATGGATCTGTTCATTTGATACATGTTAAAAAATGCCAATTTTAAAAATTTTTATTGATAATGCATTTGTTCAAAAAAAACATTTTTATTATTATTCTTATTATTATTTTAATTTTATACATTTATAAAAATATATAAAATAAATTTATTTTATCTAATACTAAAGAATGCATGGAATAAAATTGAAACAATTTTATTGGCTAAATTTGACACAACCCATGTCAATATGCAAATTTTTGAATTAACTGCAGAAACTACATTTTATTTCGTTCAAGAAAATCTTAGTAGGTATTAAGTTCAAGTAACATGTTAAAAATTCCAGGTCCTGTTTCAAACAGTGATTGAAATGAAATTATATGATTTTATAATTTTCATGTCAACAGAAGCAAAATGCCATTGTCAAATATTTTAAAAATTAAAAACATTGATATAGATCAAAATTTTGGAAAGGAGGTCTGAAGAAATGAATGAAAAGAATGAAAGGAAGGTTTAGATGAAGTTTGCAAAGAAGCCAGACATTTCTATCTGCAGGCTGCTCTAGAACTGAAACTTACAAAATCAATGGTGTAAGAAATAAAGTAGAAAGACTTCTGATTGACTGATTATAACAAAAAATCAGCATCAAAATACAAAAACAATCAAGCAATTTGGGCAAAACATAATTATTGTAAAATTTACAAACTATTGATTGCTTCCATCCAGTAGTAGATTAAAACTTACCATGGATGATGAGTCATACTTTGTCTTGGATTCAGATCTTTGTGGGGCCATAAAGTATTTCATTACTGAATCACTGAATATTCCATATTCAGCTTTCTCCAATCCTGTTCCTGTCAGATCCAGAATTCAAGTGAAAGAAAAATTTCTGCGTAATATAATGAGGTGGCATAACATGGATAAAGACAGATAAATATCAAAATCAGCATTTATACAACGAAGTGTGAGTGGTTTGATTTATTTATATCGATGCATAAAGAAAATTATGATCTCACTTGTCAGGCATCATTATCAAATACACGATGTTTTATTATGGTTTGATTTGGCATAAATAAAATGACATTTTATTTAGGGAAACAAAATTAAGCACTTTGAATTGTCATTTCAGGTCTAAACCTTCTTCATCTCTTACAATTCTTTAGAAAACTGGTCATGAGTAAAGTCACGGGGAAAAGTTTTTTAAAGAAGTTAAACTCAGGACCAGTTTTTTCAAAGAATTGTCGAGAAGAGGTTAAAACAAACTGCATACAAAAGCAACAATTCAAAGTGATTAATTTTGCCGTGTTCTTCTAAACACACATCCTGTATGATAAGTCCTACATTTGTCATGTGAGATTTAAGTACAACAAGAAGCTTTGAACACAATATAACTTTAGTTAACATCTGTATTAATTCACTTAAAATTCTTATGACATCATGTGATGTGTATGCCAGAGAAACCAAAACAAAGAAGCTATGTGTTGTGAATTACATTGTACTACTGCCTGCCAAAATCAAAACTGGCCAGTTTCAAAAATAGCCAATTTTTCAGTAATTTCAGATTTCTGGAAGTCGGATATTTGGTCTTGTACTATAAAATAAAATAAAAGTTGGCATCAGTTGCAATCAAGATAGAATGTTTACAGATCATTCATTTTTTTCTTCCATTAGTTATAAAAGAGAAAAATCAAATATTGTGTAGTATTTGATAATCGGAGTAAATTTGAGTAATAAACAAATTACTGTTAATACTCTGAAGGTAAGTGTCTTGATGACAGTAAATGAACGTGCTTAAAAGTTACTACAAAAGACAAAATTCTGTTTTAAAATTTGCTTGTAAATATTTTAAAACAGTGTTCATAGACATCTGAAACAGATCAGTCATGATCTATTTTAAACACTAATGAAATAGGGTTTATTGATTTCTATCATCATGCAGAATTTGTTCAAATTTTAAAATTGAAAAATTTGTGGTTATTTTAACAATATTGTGAAAATCTCTTCACTACTTGAAATATGCATAATAATGATAGGCTTTTTTCATTCATACAAACATAATATTGGCTGCTGATAAAAAGAGTAGTAACGAAAGCTGATGATGTAATAATTGGCTTAATTTAAAAATTGAGCATTTATTTTAAGTATTTAAGATAGTATATTTAAAAATGATTGGCTATCACTCTTGGTTAATGGGATGAAACATTATTGTAAGTGTCGAACGATTACATTCTACAAGATATTTTAAATATATAAATATTAATTTTTGAACAAATTATATTTTTTTAAAATTTAGTGTAAAAATGCAACATTTTAAATAAAACATGATATTAGTATTTAAAAATAATGTTTAATTTTTTTATTTTTAGGTTTCAGTATGCTGGAGATAATTTTGTTAAAGCTACCGGAGATACGGAAAAACATTCTCAAATGCAGAGTAAATTATTTCTCCCTATCTCTCTTTTAGTTTAAGTGAATTAAAGTTTAATTTCAAGCAAAAATAAGTCATATTCATTTCTATTTGTATAAAATACAGTCTGAATTGAAAAACAAAGACAGATTAATTACAGAATTAATTTCATAATTTTTGTTTATTTAATCAATGAGTTACGTTTACAGTGGTACCTCAGGATACGAACGCCCCAGCATACGAAATTTTCAGGATACGACATGAAATTCGAACATATTTTTGCTCCACGATACGAACAAAAACTCACCATACGACGTTACATTAATTCGCATTTTTCATTTGTTTTCCTTACTACAGTTATTTTTTTAATGTATTACTTGGCTTTAATTTGAGTATGTTTTTCGCGTTGGAACGAATTATTTGGTTTAACATGTAATCGTATGGGAAAGGTTGATCCACCTTACGACATTTTCATGATACGATCTCAGTTTCGGAACGGATTAATTTCGTATCCTGAGGTACCACTGTATTTAATAATACATGAATTATTCAAATATTTGTATTTCATAGGAAAACAAAATATGACATTGATAAGGACATACTTTGTTTTTCTTTTGCTTTAGGTACAGAATAACTACATTCAAAAATTATATTTCTTTACATCTTTTTGCAAAACACACACCCACTTTTTTTACACGCAAGAAAAATTGTTTCTTCTATCTGGATATGTGAATACAGTATTTACTGAAAAATAATATTTTGAGATCTGTATTCAGAAGTAGTGAGCAAAAACACGGTGTATTTATATATATTATTATTTGTAACAAATAAGCAATCTTTATGGTAACAACTAGAAACTGCAACAGTCGACCCCCCTATAATTACGGTCCCTATAATTAAGATTCCTATAAAACTACGAAAAAATATACGTATTTTGGAAATGTTAAGTCGGATTAGTGTAGAATCGATTAATTTTATGGAAGAAAATCTTTCAATCAGCCGTAGTCTGTAAACTTGACACGTGTCAGGCTGTGATTAAAACGACTTGTAAGAAATCGGATTCCTAATAAATTGGAACGTATCTATATCTTATAGGGGGGTCGACTGTATATATTATTATTTGTAACAAATAAACAAACTTCATGGTAACAACTAGAAACTGCAACAGTAGATATTTAGACACTACAAACAATCTGTGTATGCAGCAAAACCTTTTAATTACTAACTTTTTTGGTTATTTTTAATGAACATCTTCAGGTAGGATACAAAATTAAATGATGCATAAAATGGAATGCTTACAGAGGACTAATGTTTTATTTTGCACATCGATTTTGTAACTGTGTAACAGAGTGATAGTAAAAGGGCATCTTTGCCAAATGTTGCTCAGTTCTATCCAATGCAGCGAATACACGTATCTGTTTTTGTCCGTTTTTCAGGTTCATAATGGAGCTTTTCTGGACTAAACCTCTCAAAGTACTCTGCAGCATCTCTCAGAAAAACTGTAGAGTAAGGAAGAAAGCTGGAAAACAATCCAAACTGAGGCCATCAATACAGTTTATTACCTTCAGTTTTTGTATCAAAATGTAGAAACCAGACATATCATTATTTCAGACAGACCGTCATTTGTGTTTAGAGTAAACCTACTTTAATCTTCAGAACATTTGAGGATTCAGCAACTTCAATGAAATTAAATAAAACTAATCTCAGTACAGAAAGTTTGCATTAGAATGTTTTTCATTTCAAAAGACCATGAAAGGCTTAGATTTCACTCATAATGCACTCCAACCAGTATGATAATTTGGTGTCAACTGTAAAAAAAATTATGGATTCACTCCATAATTTTATGCTAATCACACACCTTATATTATTGAAGGGTTAGTTTTTCCATATTAGCACACCCTGGGTATGTTTTATGCTGGACATGTTAAAGTGCATAGATTTTATTTTTTTCTTTTATTAAGTTGGATATCTTTTCCTTCTCAGAGTACTGAGGTCCAGAATATGTTGTTAGTTTGTATTAATTAGTCTCATAGTGGGCTCATAACATTAAACTAGTCGCTGTAATAGGGTTCATAAAATTATGTATAATTATTATCTATATTTATTTTATTAGTGTGTGTGTGTGTGGGAAGATGTTAATTATCATAATTTTTTAAGTTATTTTTACATTGAACACACATATAGGAAAGACTAATGTGTTAGTAATTAACCAAATCTAACTTTTTAGTTTGTCCAAGGTTGCAGAAGAAAGGAAGGCAACTGTAGCTAAATCAGTGATAAAGTGAGGCATGTTAAATATTAAAAATCAACTGTTTCATGTTACATATAAAAGTTACAAAAATTTCTAAGCCATTAAGTTTGAAATTTAAAATATATAACATTATAAATTGTTTAAATATCACATGGAATATACAAGTTTACTCTATCGCTCAGTATAACGGTTTGTAACAGCCTGTTTGTTGTATAAATCTGTAATGAAATCCAAAAAATCATTTGTTAAGAACATTAATTTTATTTAATTATTATAAAACAGAATTTTCAATCTTTGAAAAATGATTTTATAATCATTTATCAAGTATAGAGAACAATAAAATAAAATGATTAAGAGAGCAAATAAGGCATTTCTTTTCTTTTTCTTCAGGCCACTACCAGTATTTAGCAATTTCTAAAGTAGATAGCATGAAAAACATTAAATAAATTTAAAATAATAATGGCAAAATTTAATAAAAAGCAATTATCTTTAGATTTAATTAATTTATATTCTGTACGGTCAAATTAAAAAATCTTGTAAATATATAAATGTGTAGAGTACTATATAATTAATTATTAATGCTATTAGAAGAATCATTTAAATATTTAAATTATTTAAGATTAATACTTAATTTTAAAACATGTATTGACACAAGAATTGCTGACAAGATTTTTAAAGTTTTTTTATGAATTACAAAAAAGCTGTGAAGTTTAATTTATAAACATTTGTAATTTTTCTAGTGTTTGCTTGGCAAGCATATGGGAAACGCGTGAACATTCCAAAAAACCTTACTTTTCCACGAAAGGTAATTATCTTAATATTATTTTTGTATTACCACAAAATATATTTTAAGTCTATTGATGATATAAAAAATTATAATTTGCACTGACACAATAATGATAAGCACACAAAAATGTAGATATAATATTCGTTTAATGCAACATTGGCATTTTTCACAGAACTACTAAGCTTTTCCTAAACTTCAAAAATAGAATGTTTGTATGTAATTCTTATGATATAAGCTGAGTAAATATGAAGAAACATTGAATTGGTTTAATAATTTGATTTTATTTACAAGTGTTGAACACGAGATTGTGTTATTAACAAATCACATGGCTTCTTTTCCATTTTTATTTACTTGATACGGTATCATTTACACGTTTCGGGCTTTTTTGCCCCTCATCAGTCAACTAAAATAAGAAAATAGTGTATACAGCATTTAAATAATATTTTTTACAAGTAATTTGTACAAACATTTTAAAATACATGTATATAACTTGCATGTACCAGTTTCTCCCGATATGGCACTTGTACACAATAAGTTTGTATTTCACAAACTCGAAGAATGAGGTTATTATAGAGACATAGTAAAATTCTTGTACATCTATTTAAAATGATAGAGCGATATTAAAAATACATGAACTGTTTGGTATTAGCAGAATAAAAGTCTTACTATTATATATCTTCTTTCTTTTATCAGAGACGACGAATGTACATTTTCCAAGTTCATTCAAGTACTTCAGTTGGCAGATTTATGTTGCACAAATTTTATAAAATTCTTCTTTTAGTCAAATTTCTAGACAAATTTTTTCAAGTATAACCCTTTCTAATTTTGGTTTAGTTTGGACTTTCAACTATCAAGCGTTGATTTGGATTGTTCGCAATGGTCGAAATTTACATAATTACGTAGAATAGTTACAAAAATTGAAACGAATTTAAGCCTTCTGGTGGTGTTTTACATAAAAATATTTTAAAAACGTTTTAATCTATAATATATTTAACCAGTTTTTATTTATGTTTATGCTTAAGTCTTTATTTATCTTCAAAATGTGTATAGTCTCCCCGATATCACATTTGTAACTTCATTATGTACTCACCTGTATACTTATTTTGCTAACACTTGCTTAACCAACAATTCTTCATAATGATTTAACAAAATTATTCTTAATATTTGGTTGATTAAACTATCATGTGACATATGATTTAATTGATCATTTTATTTTATTCGCCAAATTGCAAATGCCATTTTTTGACTGGAACCTGCCGACATAAAGAACAATAAGCAAGGGCAGCTGTCAGTTTTTAAATGGAGGTTTATTTTGAGTGGAGGGAATAGGATTTTTGCCCTTCTAACAAAAATTTCCCAAAATAAGGAAAGAACTGAAACAAAATATAATGACCCCAGAAATTAAAATAATGTTTAAACGAAGGCTATTTTTTAAATAAGGTCTGTTTGTAAATGAGAGTGAGAATGATGCGCGATCTCAGCAGTGCGTATGTGTGTCTTCTACGAGTATGCTTTGTGCACGTTTAGACACCATTTGCAGTCGTATCTTCTGTCTGTGTGCTGAGCTGTATAAGTTTATAATGTTTAAGAGAATTGAGTCGCCTGCCAACTGTGAAATACGATCTGTTATTCGATTCTTGAGTGCTAGAAACTTGGCAGCAGCGGAAATTCACCATCAGATTTGTGAAGTTTATGGTAATAATGCTATGAGTGACAGTAAAGTTTAAATGTGGGTGAGAATGTTCAAGAATGGGCAGGTTAATGTGCATGATAACCCATGCCCTGGCTGACCTTCTCGGATTTCTGAAGATATGGTTTGTGATGTGGATAACAAAATTCGAGAGGACCGACGATTCACGATTTCAATGTTACCAATTGAATTTTCACATGTTTCAAGATCAGTTTTGTATACCATTGTTTCAGAAAAACTGAATTATCGAAAATTGTATTATCGGTGGGTTACAAGACTGCTTTCTGACGATCACAAAACAAAAAGATTGGGCAGTGCTTTATCGTTTTTGACTCGATACGATAAGGAAGGAGACAAATTGTTGGATCACATCGTTACAGGAGATGAGATTTGGATGTCTCACATGACTCCTGAGTCCATGCAACAGTCAACGGAATGAGACACATATCTTCGCCAACCAAAGTGAAAGCCAAACAGTCCATTTCAGCACAGAAAATTATGGCAACTGCCTTTTGGGACAGGTAAAAATTTTGTTAGTGGATTTTATGCCGAGAGGCACAACAATCAATTCTGATGGCTATTATGTCACCTTGAGAAAATTCCGGCATGACATGCTAAACAAGCGGTATAGTCTATTGTCTTCCTATGTGATGCTGCTCCATGACAATGCAAAACCACATGTTTCTGCACAAACACAAGGTCTAATTAGTTCTTTTGGACGGAAACAACTGTATCATCTGCCTTACAGTCCAGACCTTGCACCAAGTGATTTTCATTTGTTACGATACTTAAAGGAGTAAGAAGCGCAAGAAATGCCTGAAACGTGTATAAATGATACGAATACGTATCAACTGAATAAAATTTTATGATAAGATTTGCCAAGTTTCTGATTAAATACAATAAATAATTTGTGTTTGAAATACTTAAAGGAGTTTTTTGGTGTCCAACTGTTCAACAATGAAGAAAAAACTGCAGTCATGGATTCGGCTTTTTCACAGGCGGCAGATTTCTTTGAAGTCGGAATTCAAAAAATTGTTGAGCGGTACGACAAATGTTTGAACAAAAATGGAAATTATGTAGAAAAGTAGATAAAAGTATGTAGAATATGGGAAAAAATATATTTAAATGAGATATACAGTATTTTTTTTCTTATTAAAAAACGGACCTTATTTAAAAAATAGCTTTCGTTTTTTATAGCATTGATGTGTTGAAGTGTATTTTCAATTTTTTTTTGTTTTATTAATATAAGTGGTTACAACTATATGAAACTTATAAACCACATTGTTTTACCACATTGTTTTTTTCTGAAATGTTGTTGATAATATTATTGTTGCTTAATCTTTTCTGGATTGTGTCTGTTCAAATTTATTTATTGTTACTGTGGCTATACTTTTATTGGTATGTCAGCAGGAAAATACTTTGTGTATAAAGTAATCAAGTATTAAAATTATATATAATTTACTGATGATTAATTTTTTATATAAAAACTGTACATAATTTATTAAATATTAATGTTTTTGATAAATATTTCAGGAGGATTATGTAGAATGTTCTCGGCATGGTGTCATTTTGAAAGGAACTGAGAAACCGGTAGTTTGATCTAAATGAGATGATGATGTTTTTATCAATAATCATACAGTAAGTAGGTGTGTTTTATATTTCAAATTACAGAAATACCTTTTACTTTTCATTAAGAAAATTAAAATAAAATGTAATATTCCATATGCAATATTACAATTACCTAATCTTTGATTAAGAAATTAATGTTTATATGGGAAAATATGAAGTCTTGGATAAGTATATTTTAGTTTTTGGCTTAGATTATTTCGATTTATGCAAAACTCACTAAACCAACTAACCTTTGTAAATTAGTAGATAAGTTTATATTACTTTTTTATATTTTATAATATAATGTAAAATTATATAATTAATATATTAGATGAAATATATCAAAAGAAAATATAAATTAGCACCTTAATTTGTGAATTTTAAAATAAACAATGTTTTGTTTCTAGATCAATTGTTTTTGGTTTTCTTGAGTTAGTAGTACAATTAATAATACAGCAGAGTCCCAAAAACTCGGCACTCGATAACCCGGCAGTCCGGTTAACTCGGCCACACCCTGGCAGGGCGTAAAAACCCCCCTAGTTAATTTTCATTATAGACAGCTTTATGGCTCATAAAGTATTTTTCTGAGGTTTGTCTTTCAGATAAATTACTGTACACTGTGTATTCATTAATTTTCGTTTTCATGTNTTAGATGAAATATATCAAAAGAAAATATAAATTAGCACCTTAATTTGTAAATTTTAAAATTAACAATTTTTTTGTTTCTAGATCGATTGTTTTTGGTTTTCTTGAGTTAGTAGTGCAATTAATAATACAGTAGAGTCCTGAAAACTCGGCACTCGATAACCCGGCAGTCCAAATAACTCGGCCACACCCTGGCAGGGTGAAAAAAACCCCTTAGTTAATTTTCATTATAGACAGCTTTATGGCTCATAAAGTATTTTTCTCAGGTTGGTCTTTCAGGTAAATTACTGTACACTGTGTGTTCATTAATTTTCATTTTTATGTAGTAAAGGCCTTCATAAAGTATGTACTTTTTATTTGTTTAAGAATATTTGGGCAGTACAAGTACAGTACAGTATTTTTTAAGGAAACACTCTTACTTATTCTTTTTTAATTCCATTCCCGATAACCCGGCGTTTTCACAAACTCGGCCACCCTTCAGTTTACATTCGGCCGCGTTCTTGAGACTCTACTGTATTATATTTTGGTGGCACATTGGCAAGTTACTATCACATCAGATATATATATATATATATATAATATAGCATTAAATACATAAAATTTTTTTATATATAAAAAATATGTACACATAATAATAAATGAAAAAATTAGTATCAAAATGATTTTATGGCACTTCTAGTAGTAGTTCATGGCACTCTGAGAACCACTGTTCCAGATGATTGATTGAATCTACTAAAAAAGCATTACCTTTATTAGAGTAGAATGCAAAATAATAATACAGATTTTATGATTACATCTTACACCAGCGCTGTCCAACTTATCATAGCGCGCGGGCCATATTTTCTTCACCAAACATTTCGGGGGCCAAGAAGGTTGATAAACCACATGACATTTGCATAGTGCTACAGTTCAGTAAGCATTAATTGGTCAGCGAGTCCGATGTTGACTCTATAAAAAGGCGACAGTTCAACACACTGGATATAGGTCACTCTCGTCTAAGTTCGACTTGGGAATTTTTTTGTTCAATAATAAATGTGAATTCTTCTTCCTGGAAAAAATAAGACATTCCCAAAAAAAGACCTAGCGCATTTTTCAGAGAAAAAATTAATATAAGACACTGTCTTATTTTCGGAAAAACACGGTAGTAAAATAATTTTAATATTAATAATAATAATTTAGTAACATAAATTTATTCATAGTAAAATGCACTCGCGGGCCGTAAAAATTATTTGGCGGGCCGTATACGACCCGCGGGCTGCCAGTTGGACAGCGCTGTCTTACACGAAAATCATAACTGTAATTTAAATTTAAATATTTAGTGTTTTTTTTATATTAAATGATGCCAGGAAGATTGTTTTGTTTTCATAGATTACAAATACTTTCATTCAACAACAAGAATAAAAAAAAGGAATTTGCTGACCAGATAAGAACTTCTTAAATTTTGCCATTGGCTAATTAATCATGCATAAATTAGAAATAGATTATCATATTTCTCAAATTACAATCACACACTGAAATTGTAACACTTTTAGTTTAGAAACACACATAATCAGATAGATAAAAAAATAAAAGTACTTCCTGAAGCTGATTAGACATCATGATAGAAAAATACACATTCCAAGATGTCTGCTTTTAAAAAAATACAAAATCTTATAAAATTTCTGAGAAATTAAAAATCATAAATTATGCCAAAGTGCATAATAATGTTTTTGCTGCAAGATGTTACAAAATGAACTAAATACAAGTATGGAAATAAAATTGTATTTGGAGAAGCTACTAGAAACTGCTCACACCACCATATGGCTAAAAATGGTGAAAAAGATGGAAAAATGTAGAAATTTTGTAACTAAACTTATATAAGAATATTAAAAAATTACAATAAAATGGATACACGACTCAAATACCTTATAAACTGCAGCCAAATTTATTATCAATTTCAAACGTTTTCGGTCATCTTTAATGACCTTTATCAAGAACGAATGAAAATCGAATGCTTTCGATTTTTGTTAGTTTTTGATAAAGGTCATTAAAGATGACCGAAAGCATTTGAAATTGATATGAAATTGATAATAAATTTGGCTGCAGATTATAAGATATTTGAGTAGTGTATCCTTGTTACCAAATGCAGTCTACGGAGCGATTACAATAAAATTGTATTAATATCACTTTTAATTAAAATAAATAAACAAACATCTGTAAAATAGAAATGTGTCACTTGTATTAAATATTGAAATAAAGCTTTGTGCTTCTAAAAAATACAGTAATTGATCATTATTAGTTTTCTGTAAGTATAGGTATGTTTTCTGAAAAAAGAAATTTTTATAATTTGTTTTTATAAATTACAATATTAATTACTTTTAAATTTAATTAAAGAATTTTTTCTAACATTGAACTTTTTACTTTCTTAAACAGTCTGTTTGGGGTTCGTATTGGTGTGACGGTCTTTGGAAATATAAATGTTGTCATTTGTTCATCAAGAATTTTTATTGCACTGGAAATAGTGGAAAAGAAGCTGCTAAACAGGTAATGCAATTTTTTTATTAATAAAGTAGGATAATTTTGTATAATGCCTATTATATATACTGTACAGTACATTTATTAATATGTCTGCTAAATATTTTGCTTACTCAAATTTGAACAGGAATCTAAAGGCATATCGATATGATCAAATTTTTTGCATCAAAAAATGGAAATAAAGAAAGTTTTGAAAATGATGTTCATCTACACAGTTATAGAGTACTTTTGAGATTTAATAAATGAACGTTGACAAACTTGTCTATACCTTGCAATAGATATTTTCAGGTGGCAATATAAGTTATGAGAATCAACAGCACTTAAATTGATACACTACTGATGCCATTGTTTCATTTTTATGGTATTTTGAAATATTCAACCAAATACTGTCCTCGATGTATTTAATTTTTATTTCAATGTCATTGATGTTGAATGAGAATGCTTGTACCAATTCTATGAGTTATACCATATGTTTATTTCTCTTGTAATAATAACTGGAAGCCATATTTCAAAGATTAGACCTTGACCATTACTCAGTTTTCCATATTCTTTGTCCAAATTGCCATTTTGTTACATGACAAAAATGCTTTATTTCGATTGGTTGGAGGTTTTAAGACCTTGAATCTAGTAGAACAACATTCTACTTTAGAATTCTCAAATTCAAGAACTTTGAAAAGATAAATTGTCTGCTCCACATTATCAAAGTAGTTTGAATACGATTTTTACATTTCAGAAATTTGATTGAATAGGTGCACCTTAAGAGAAAGTTTCAAAACTATTATTCCTAATCATTTTTTATTGAAACAGAATGTATTTATAAATGAAAATTAGTTATTTAGTGGTGTTTGAATTTTTTCCGTTGTATTGATTTTTGCATCAGCATTATTCATTCTTCTTTTCATTATGCCATTCTTAATGGTTATATGAAGAAAAGACACTATTATTGATTTTCTCATAAGTTCATTTTGGATAAATTATAGAAATTTATGACTTTTATAGAATTAACCAAAATTGGATAATTATAATGGGTTTTTTTGTTCCAAAATATTATATATAGCCCATAATCTTAGTATATATAAAAATATTAAAGAAATGAAACTGGTCAATTTGATTTTATCATCATTGGAGTTAATTATTCTTATATTTCAATTTAAATGAATGAAAATTATTGTAAATTTACTGTTAAGGTAGAATTCCAATTATTTGTATGCCAATCATCAAACCTCCATTATCAGGTCCATCCATCCAGGTCATGTTTTTCTCTGAAAATAGTTTTTGACAGATATTTTAGGCCATGAAAATAGTAAATATGTACCCTTTGTAACTCTTGTAGACAAAAGGTACTGAACAAAAGTATATGTATTCATGCAAAAGAAGATATATAATTTAGTATCTTGTTACATACATTAAGAACTTCACTTTTGACTCTTTAACAAAAATGTCTGAAATATGTTTTTAATTTGAATTAATCATGTAACTGATGATATTCAAGTTTTGTTGCTTGAAAACTGACAAAATATTATTTTTTTCCAGGCCTCGCGTGTAGTCATCTTGCCACTGGACAATGACGATGACTTAAGTTATTAAGTCGAATTCTGTATGTGACTAGTTTACAGATTTTTAAGAGAAATATGACACGAGTTCGTTCACACGTACAAACAGACTTACGCTTCAAGGAAGGAAAAAAAAGGCATTTATGCTATTTTTAATATGTAAAATACCGAGTACGTTTCTGCTCGTAATAAAGTTTTTAAAACACGTTGTGGAAATTGTTCGGCGGTAGACAGCAGGCGTTCTCGCTATATATTTATCGGAGGTTAGTTTACCATGGATGAATTTTAAGCTGAGAAAAACTTCCTGTATCAACCAGATTTTTTGCATTGAATTAGCATAAAATCTGGCAACTTTACTGACATTTTAAAAAAATTATATGTTAATTTAGTTTATTTTAATGCCGTTAAACTAAAAACTAATTTAATTAAATTGAACATTATTAAGCATGTAAATTCACATCTTTAAAAAAGTCGAATTTATTTATTTAAAAAATTTTAAAATTAACAATTTTTTTGTTTCTAGATCGGCCTTCTGGTGGTGTTTTACATAAAAATATTTTAAAAACGTTTTAATCTATAATATATTTAACCAGTTTTTATTTATGTTTATGCTTAAGTCTTTATTTATCTTCAAAATGTGTATAGTCTCCCCGATATCACATTTGTAACTTCATTATGTACTCACCTGTATACTTATTTTGCTAACACTTGCTTAACCAACAATTCTTCATAATGATTTAACAAAATTATTCTTAATATTTGGTTGATTAAACTATCATGTGACATATGATTTAATTGATCATTTTATTTTATTCGCCAAATTGCAAATGCCATTTTTTGACTGGAACCTGCCGACATAAAGAACAATAAGCAAGGGCAGCTGTCAGTTTTTAAATGGAGGTTTATTTTGAGTGGAGGGAATAGGATTTTTGCCCTTCTAACAAAAATTTCCCAAAATAAGGAAAGAACTGAAACAAAATATAATGACCCCAGAAATTAAAATAATGTTTAAACGAAGGCTATTTTTTAAATAAGGTCTGTTTGTAAATGAGAGTGAGAATGATGCGCGATCTCAGCAGTGCGTATGTGTGTCTTCTACGAGTATGCTTTGTGCACGTTTAGACACCATTTGCAGTCGTATCTTCTGTCTGTGTGCTGAGCTGTATAAGTTTATAATGTTTAAGAGAATTGAGTCGCCTGCCAACTGTGAAATACGATCTGTTATTCGANTTTCTTGTTGTTAAATTTAGAAAGGGGATGCGTTTATATGTGTACTCGCTGCTCCGAAACATCTAAAAAACGCTGCATCCTACTGTTCTCAGAAGACATTACTGTTACTCACTCCGAGAATCGTCATGAATGCTCGAAAGTTTTGCCAATGTTTGGCATGTAGCGCTCTATCGATCGTGATTTTCGGAGTTTTCCAATGATGGGATCTACTAGGGGCGACAACGTGTCGTGAATGAGTTAAATACTACACTTTACTAATACACCTGCTTTACGAATTTATTTGTGCACTTAGGTTATCGACCCACGTGAAAAGACGTGGTTTGCTTTGAATAATAACAAAATGGCGATCTTTTTCGGAGGATAAATGTAAACTTTGACACTTCTGACACTTCTTTAGTTAATAATCTTTTGACGAAAATGAGCACTCAGCCCATTGTATCTGCCGTGTCTTGTGAGATTAATTCTTTCAATTGTGGAGTAATTTGTGCATAAGAGAAGTGTAAATTGCGTATACGTCGTTGTGTATAAGTTACGCTTACATTAAGCGCAGCCAAGCTTTCTTAAGGTAAGCGTAATACAGGCAAAACACACGCTAATTAACATATGTTGCGCGCGTAACGCGTAATGGATACTACAACGTGAAAGTAACGCATAACTCGTAAATTATGCGTAACGACAAATAAATTCGGTAAGGATCCACGCGAAAATACAGAAACAAAATCATAATTAGGACACAAAAAAATGGAAGTTTCGAGCAAATGTTTTTTGAATTTTACGTAAAGTTTTCGGAAAAAATTTGTTTTAATTTAATTTTATAGTCACAACGTTTTGTAAATTATAATAATAACTTTACTCGATTAAGAGAATGAGTCAACTTCTTGGAAAAATTAATTTATAAATTGCGGTAATGATATCACTTGATTAAGGATGGGATACGTTGATCTACTTCAAAAATTTTCTTTGTACTTTATATTAAACACTCGATATCTTCTAAAAAGGCTCTAGATTTGATTTAAATACGATATATTTCATGGACTCTGGTTCTTAATATTAGTGAAAATTATATTTATAGAGTTTTATATTATAAATCCAAGTAAATTTCGACTAAAATGGTGTCTAAACGTATACGTTTCATGAAAAAAAACAGTCATACAGGCTACGGCGTGACGCACGTACACATGACACTCAACGATGTATTTAGCGCATTAGTAGAACGTGTGGCACATCCACAGAGCCACAACAGTGTTGTGGCTCTGTGGATGTGTCACCCAGTGGCGTGCCGTCATTAGAAGCGTTGGAAGCGCTGCTTCCCTTGTATTTTATAAAAAACTTTCTGCAAGAACCTGCTTCGCTGGGTTTTTATCTGTGGGCAAAAAGTAACGATAGTGAAGATTAAGATAATTACATTATAGCCAATCTTACCCGTTTTCACAAAATGCTAGAGTTAGGTCTCCCGTTTCCAGACGTTTTTAGAGAATTTTTACATGAGCATAAAAATATGTTCGATTTGCCGAAAAAGCGCAAAAAACCGCCTGTAAATCTTGCATGCCGCATTATATTAACACTTTCTGGTCCCGATTCTATTTCTGAACGTCTCCTGTTCACGTCCAGTCAAACGAACTATTTTCAACGTTTCTGGAACGTTTACGATCGTTCTATAATCGAACCAATATTCGAATTTTATGTTCGAACAAAACATTCGAAATAGAAAGCCAGTTTCAATTACTTTCGGCCTCATGTCCATTTTTATCTATATATATATATATAGATAAAAATGGACATGTATGTCCCTATATTTCACTTTTTCGCCAAAACTACACATCGCACGTGAATGGTGTTTGTATGTGGTAGTAGCCCCAAGTCTTCATTCGTGCACTAGGGGGTTGCGTCTCGATAGCTATAAGAGTGCGGAAGATATGAGGCCGAAAGTGGTTGAAACTGGCTTTCTATTTCGAATGTTTTGTTCGAACATAAAATTCGAATATTGGTTCGATTATAGAACGATCGTAAACGTTCCAGAAACGTTGAAAATAGTTCGTTTGACTGGACGTGAACAGGAGACGTTCAGAAATAGAATCGGGACCAGGTCTCTAATTAGTCTGGAAACGGGGGACCTAATTCGTCCATTCTGTGAAAACGGGTAAGATTGGCTATAATGTAATTATCTTAATCCTCACTATCGTTACTTTTTAAAAACTAAGCGAGGCGGGTCCGTGCAGCTAGTATATATATATATATATATATATATATATATAAAATACTTATTAATTTTAATTATATGAAAATAATCGCGCAATATTTTATTATAACCGCATTATGTATCTTATTACAAATTTTTATACTACACGTGAAAAAAGAAAAAAATAAGATTGCTATTGTATATTCGAATAAAAAGGTGGAATCGAATGTGCTCCTGGATAAGCTGCTTCAGTATGTGCTCCTGGTTTATTTTCTGTTTTTTGTGTTAATACGAATTAGCGGTTACAATTTTTTGGTATTTTGTGCGTCGAAAGGTGGATGGAACAATATTACGTCAAGTAGGACTTTGATCTTCACCCCTTTTTTAAATTATATATAAAAAACTGTAATTTTTCGGTTATCCGGACTTAGAGTGTTCGTTATACTGTAATTTTTACGGGTCCTCATTGCGATCCTTATACAATAGTGGTCACCAAAAATCAGAAACTTAGACCTATTATTTATCGAAATATCGGTACCACTTCCGGTCGAGAGTCGAACACAAGTTTTGAGCCTCCGGTTAGTCTTATTGATATAACATTTAGGTGGTTCTTATAGCACTTTTTAAGTAACTTTGTCGTAAAATTTCGTTAAGATTGGCCCACTAGAATTTAAATTATGGCAATTCTTAGATTGAATTCTATTTTCAACTTTCCACTTCGAATGGTTGCCATGGCAAAAAACCTCTACAATCAACAATTCTGATTTTTCGCTTTTATTCGTTTACTTATAATTTAATATAGCATAAAGTACTATATTAAAGTACTAGTCATATTTCTGGAATCGGGAAATTATAAGGAATTCAATTATTATACTGTACTTATAATAATTTGGGATAATTATATAGTTTGATTTTTTGCATTTTAACTGTTTTCTGCGTGATTCTTAGTATAATATTATATATTTTATAATGGCTGATAGTTATCCTATCAATACAGCACGTGAAGCTGCAAATGAAGTAATCTCTGAGTTAAAAGATTACAATATTGAAAACTGACATTGCAAATTTTCCACAACTCGACATGCAGATTTCATACTAGACTGTATGAATAGAGTAATAAAAATATATGAAGATAATAGTATGTATACTATGCTTAAGGAAATAAATAACAAAATTGATACGTTAGGAAATAAAACTAATAACGAAGAAATTATTAGACCTTCATACAGTACTGTGCTAAAGTCAGGAAAGGCTTTTCTTCCTGCAAATCTCAATATTAGAGATAAGCCTTCAAAGGATGTCTTATTAATTTATCATAAAAAAGATAATATAAATAGTGAAAATACGCAGGAAATTATACAGCAGCATGTTAACCCTATTGCGCTAGGTATTGGTGTCGAAAGAATACGGCGTATAGGTGGTGGAGGAATTGCAATTCATCTAAATAACAAGAATGATCTAAACAAGCTGGAGAAATGTGTGCAGGAAACAATCCCTGAACTTGTTACTAGAAAACCTAAAAAGCGGAACCCCCCATGTAGTGCTTTATTCTGTACCTATACAAATACGACGTGAAGAGTTACTAGATCACATATATTAACAAAATTACATTATTCATGAAAACTTCTCAGATACAGAATTTAAAGAACAATTTAAGATAAAATTTAGTATGGGACGTAAAGATGCGCAATTTATTAACTGGGCAATAGAAGTATCACCACAGATACGGAAATATCTATTAATGATGGGGAAAATAAATTTGCAATGGTCGCGATGTCGTGTTCAAGATTTCT